TTGAAAAAAGGGGGGGGGTCGTAAAAGCTCGACCAAAATCCCCATCGAATGCTGTGCCCTGCTACCAAGTGTGGGCGGCCAGGGCACGTCGCACCCTAGGAGATTTCCAACGGGGAGGGGGGTCGCACTCGATCGCTACGCTGGTCCGGGAAATTTTTCCTGTTAGGTGATCTTTCCTGTTTGGAAGGCGTTATCCACACCACTGGGAGAATTTCAGTGGGCGGGTGGAGGAGCGGGAAATCTTTCATGCTCGTCCTTGTGAGAGGGGAAATGGGAGCTCATTTACGTATGAGAAACATTTCCGAGTGGCGTAAAAAAGTCTCCGGTTGGTGACTTTTCACGATTTTCCTTTTCATATGTGCTATGTACCTCTGCTAGTCGCAAAGAAGAACCATGCAACTACTAATTCTGATGGTCAGAACTGGTGGTTGATCGACTGAAAGACCTCTCGTTAGCAGTTTTCTTTTGATTGGGGGGATATAGATTGTTGAGACAGTTTCGGAAAAAGTAATAGGAAATTGCGGAGGGGGGAGGGAACTTAGGACGATGGTAGGAAAGCAGGGGGCCTACCGGAGGAGTATATTGGAAGTGAGTGTTGTGAACAGTTTGTGAAAAATTCCCCAGCGACAGAAAGTGCCTTGCGTGTGCAATCAGCTCGTTAATTTCGGAGATGCGCTGCGCCGCAGTCGCTCGCGCACCAGGTTGTCCAAACTCTGAAGGGCTGCAAACTGGCTACATGGAACGTAGAGAAGAAGACTATCAGTGATTTCAGAAAGAATTGAAATTTTAGGGATCCATCATTGAACGACTGACTCACGCAGGTGTGGAAAATAGCCGCGCCTTACCACGCGTCAAACGAAACAACTACCAGAAAAGCTAACAAGCACGTAAGCTGCGACCTCAACTGGTTGGAGGAATCAGACCGATGCCCTTGTGAGGTACGGGAAGGCTACTTTCCTCGTTATCGATTTGGAAGAATGACAATTCAAAAAAAACTTAGTTCCGGAAGAAAATATTCTATAATGAATCTACTTAATCAGTACGCAGTAGCCGTAAGCTTCCTGTCGGAGTCTCGAAAGGCTGGCGGCGAGTCGTCTGCCGGATTTCCATAGACAAACCATTGCCAATTCCCTATTCGCCATGTGAACGGATCCGAGTAGTACTCGAACGAACAGTTCATCGTCGATAGAGCGGCGTATGTTCGTGAAGCACAACTCTGACCGATATACAAAGTGTCGAACATTATCTTGATTAATCAACTACACTCTGTTCCTGCCGGATGTTGGAGTGCGAGGGGGATGGTGTGGGCACGGCCGCCAGCGTCTCACGCGCTTGTTGTGCCAGGACAGGCGACAACGGCTGGAGGAAAATGACTGATGTGAACGACATCAGGCATTCTCGTCGCTCGCAGAACGAAAAAAAAGGAAAAAAAAGAAAAAAAAAGAAAAAAGGAGCCGGCACCGCTTCGATCCCATCCCTCATGATACGCCCCCTCATCCGCAGCGAGCAAGACTGTAATAGCAGAGTCAACCGCACGTAGAGGAATCTTCTATAGGGGTCGTACTTGATTGGTGGTTGGAGGGAGGGGGACTGTACTTGACCTAACTGATTATTAACTCCCCCTCAGCCTCGAGAAAACCTAAAGGCACAAGCGACCGCAAATTGCGGAAACGGAACTCAAATAGGCACAAAAAAGTGCTAAGTATCTGATTAGCGGAGAAAAGCAGCAGAAAAAGCAGTCCGAAATGTTATAGAGAAAGATAACATAGTGGCTACTAGCTAGTAGCTAGCAGCCGGTGAGGGTCGGCATGGGCCTAAGGGGTGTCCATGGGCCTAATTAGTCAGCTTCTAGCGGAGTTCTTGCCGTTTTTCACATTTTGAAAGTAGCGCAGCCTCAAAAATCGCCTTCCGGATCGTCCGACACATTTGAGAGGTCATAGCCTTATTTTATCGCGGAATGTGCCTTTTAAAATATTTCTGATCGCGAGGTGAGCCCAACACCCCCCCCCCCCCACACTTCCCTCAAAAATGCTGCCGATTGATATGGTTGCAGGAACAGATATAGTGAAAAGATCGGCCAACAAACCTGAAGGCTATCTGGATCGAAGAGCTCGATTTGTTTTCAGGGTAGTACCCTGTGCACCATCGACATGAACGGTCAAGACGTTCGACACTGAAATGTGGATATTAAGTAAAGAGGTGGTAAAATGAAGAAAAGGAAGGGATCGAACGAAATTAGGAAAGAATTTAAGAAAATTCAGAGCTTCAATAGCTTCGCCCGATTTCTGGGCTTTGTTTTATCTCAAAATTCAGGCCCTGCTCTTCAGCGAGAAAGTCCCAGTCGTGAACAAATCATGGCACTTTTCGGCTTAGGCGGGGAGGGGGGACTGCACATTTACTACTCTTTTGTAAGCACCTGTTAAATTGCACATTTCAACTTGATAAGACCTGTGGACTCTTGTCAAGGGGTAAATGAAGCTCCCTCTATTGCACAGTTTCACGGAAATTCCAGGTCTCGCTGGCAGGCCACAGTAGTGACCAATGCGACCAGCGGAACAAAATGCCCACCAGAGCCTGAACTGCGCCCAAATCATTTCAGAGCTCATATCGGAGGAGGAAAAAAAAAAAAGGGGAGAATAAATTGCATAATGGGTATTTTCAGCGGCCATTTTTGTTTTTTTTCTTTTTTTTTTTTTTCTGTTTCTGTAATTTTTTTTTTTTTTTTTTATTTTTCATCTATCGATTGAGAATTTTGTTCACTGCCGTCATTTATTAAAAGCAGTAGCAACCTCCAACTTGTGGTGATCCATTGTAGCCATCGATATGTGAAGCTGTTGGATCGACCGAAGTTGTCTCGGCGAACTCATAGTAGACCTTGGCACCGCTCACAGCATAGACGTGAACGAAACAGTTGCCAGGAGAAGTCATCTTAAATAAAATCGTTTCAAAAGCGACTGGGATCGTATTCGCCTTCAAGAAAAATGCTCTCAGTTGTTGACTTTCCTTGGTTTTTTTTCTGTCTCAAGTGCGCTGTGCCCTCCTCTTCCCTCTCCACAGCAGTTTTTCGGAGGAAAAGTGAGGGGGAAGTCAGAAATTTGGGAAAAAAAGAAAGACTCCTGCCCTGATCTCGAAACCGACTTCCATTTGATTGAAATGCTCTATAACGGACCCAGAAAATACCGTAGCGCTCTCAGGAACGAATTTAAACCCTCTCTTTTCTCTTAGCTGCACCTGCCTTTCTCTTATAGTTAGTGTTAGATAGCTGCGATGCGTACGAGATCTAGTAGATCTTAATACGGTCTACATTAGTTTATTGCTAGACGGCATACAGCATCTAGATGAGTTAAAGGCAATTCCCGCGACCACATTTAATACAGTTCGAAAATAGAATTGCCGTCGTGTTTGCTGACTTATTGAAGATGGAAAGAAGCACGAAAAAGCGCCCGGAATAAGACCCTCTTTATTGCAATTGATCATGATCACCGGACGAGCGTAAGGTGGTCAAGATCAATTGTGAATTGCGAAAGGCGGCGATACACTGATAAGAGACGAGAGAGGCCAGAAAACGACGGGCGAGAGAGCGCAATGGCAGTCTCACAACGACACGGTCACTGGAGGCCGGCATGGGCCTATCGGGCGCCAATGGGGCCTAAAACATGAGCGCCGTGCGTTCTGCTTGCTGTTTTTCAACTTTTAAAAGCAGCATATCCTCTACTGTTGCCTGCTTGATCATCATGCACGTTTATGAGGTTCTAGCCTTAGTTTATCGCGGAACGTGCCTTTTAACGAGCGTGTCATCACGGTACGAGCTCGAAAATTCTTCTGCTACGACTCGCCCTTCCCCATCTCACCTAATATCTTCTTAAATTTCCCCATTTTTCTACCACTTCAGCGGAGGTGGTGTAGTGGTAAGCGGCATGCTTACCAAGCCTTTCACTCTCCCCGAGAAGGTTGGACAGTTAATTGGTACCAAATTTGTCTGGGAGGATAACAACACTGTCTTGCACATCGGCTGGTCCCCGCAAGTCACTGTGTAGGCCACATCGCCTTCAATAAGCCACCAGATTCTGAAAGGAAGGAAGAATGCAGGCCGCATCCCAGAGGAAGAATCGATCACGGCTAAGATTTCATCCTTTTATCCTACCACTTATCCCAGTTTTCCAAAAAAATTGACCGAGTGGGGGGGGGGGCAGGGTGGAGGGTAGGGTCGTCGACGATCAATTCCTAGTTTCAAGTATTAAAAATAGTGTAGCTTGCCAGGATGCCTCTGTCTCTTTCGGCGGCTCCAGCTGAGGGGGGGGGTCGAGCAAACAGATCGAGAAAACTATACGCGTGAAAGGAAGTTTTCGTCCAATCGAGCCTCCCCCGGAAGTATGCTCCACCCACATTCTTCTTTCATTCAGAATCGCAGCAGAAAGCTCTTCTGAACGCCATTTGGTAAACGCCCCGATTTTCAGGGCTAGCTGATGTACCGAGAGCTTTTTCTTTTCTTGGAGATTTGTTGGTTTTTTACTTTGTTGGTACCTTTTCGACGTCTAGGTGCTACGGGAAGGTCATTCCAGGGCGCTTAGGTGAAATCGAAGTGGCAAGGTGGTAAAGAGTTATATTAGCAGCAATGATTTTGTTCGGTCTCGCTCGTACTTCGCGATCCGTATTTCGCTGAACCGCTAGAGTCGCATAGCCCAAACATGACCATTTGGGCGGATTATTAGGCTTCTATACAGATACGGGACCTTGCAAAATGTCACACAGTAGCAGACAGGATCAGTAAGCCTGATTTTTATTGGAATAGTCTAGTGGCGTACTAGAAGTAAGCAGATAAACAATGCTAGGCTTACCGATAGGGTGTAGATTCCAGGTGATCGATCCACATCAATCTCGAAAATTTGTGTACTATTGGTTTTGAAAAGTGTCGTCGGTGCGATTTCATCTGCAATAAAAGTGAATTGGAATGTTTCGTTCACATTACTGTTCAGGAAAACACACATTTTCCCTTTTGAAGACACATTCCGTAATAAAAGATGGGCGGAGACTGATAACCATTGCGCGTTTCACACTTCGACGTTAAAAACCTTGCGGGGAGGGAAACACCTGTAAGCGCTTGCAGCATATTAAATTTAGTAATATCGCAGCTACGCGATCGGACGGACACAGGAAAAAAGCGCGCTCCAGTGAGAAATTACAGTACAACGTCCCGCGACGAAAAAACCGCCACTGACGGCGGGAAGAAACCACTTTTGGGCCCAAAAATGGGCGCTGAGGCCACGAGTTGTCTATCATTCACCCAGAACGCCGTTCACCACTTATAAGGACATCACGCTTCACTCGGCGTATAGAAAGGCGAGGTGGGGGGGGGAAGATATCTTTTATTCCAGGTCAATCGTCTTAGCTGTATTGATGTTTTTACCACGTTCGCGTATTCACATCTGTTATTTACACTCGTTGTTTTACACTCGCGTATACAGTCGTTACTATACTACTTTTTGTGTTAATTACCAGGTTTGTTAGTTTCATCTGTTGGAGGATAAAATATTTTTATTTATTGTGCGACTGGTTTTTATTTATAGTATTCCGTAATCGAGCTATAGAATTAGTAAATTGTATACTTGTGAATATCAACTTGTAACACCGAGTAAGACTTTTACCACCTGCAGTCAGCGCTGTAAACTCTTCCGACTTGTCAGAATGACTTGTCAAGACATGGAAAAAATTGAGAAATGCAGTTCAACTGACATTAGTACCGTTTTGCCACGATGGACAGGAGCTTACAGGGTAGTTGACAGGAATCAGCAGGGCTTGCCGAATGAGACACGATTGGACGCGCATTGAAAATGCTTACAGTTGTGGCTCGCCCCCCCCGTCCCCCAAGAGTGCGCCGACGATTTAATAAGAATGAGGAAGGCAGATAATGAGAAAAATGCTTTAATTCGGGTTAGGGGGCAAAAAAAAGTCATTGCCGGCGACACATATCAACGACGTTGTTTCGGCCGCCCAGACAGGGGAAGGGAATACGAGTACGCAGATGGAAAGTACCAAGCTCTTCCTCTATATAGCTGGAGCAGCTGCGCCAATCGCTCTTCATGTACGGAAAATGGGAGTGGAGACGCTTTGATTCACGTGGCGTCCAAACAAGCATGCGGAAATTATTGAATGAATCACCATGGCATACCTACATGAGTCAGTAACTCTTGATCTGCAAGACCTCCCACATCGAGCAGCTACGGCAACGTCGCTACGGTCTAGGACATCATTTCACCGTATTCGTCGAGGCGCGAGTTGATGGTATGACCGGGGTACCTGGAAAGGGGAAGACCGATATTTTCTTTGTAGACCCCGACTGAAGGTGAGCGCTGGCGGTTACATCAAGTAACTCGAGAAGAATATCCCTCCCTACATGTGGTCGCCGTACCTTCTTGGAGACGCATTGTCTGCTACAGGTATTTGGGTGCCACCACATGGATCCAAAGGGTTTTGGAAAACTCCCGCCTACTTCGAATGGAAGGCGTTCGTAATCTGAAGAAGATGTAATATTGAAGTATGTCCCCTGACCTGAATCCACTCATTACTGTTCTGGCGGACTTCAAGAGGGTGGTCTACGGTGGCGGAGAAATCGACTACCCCGCTGATCTCAGGTACCACATCGCGGTCGCGTGCCAGAATCTCTCGATGGCGTTCGTCCAGAAGGCTGTGGCGGAGTGTCGTGATAGTACTTAATATGCTCTTCAATATGGTAGTAAAAATGTCCGATCAGAATTTGATAAAGTGTAATTTATAGCGCCTCGAAAGTCAATGAGGCAAAGTGACTTTTTTTTGCCCCCCCCCCTGTAGTTATGAGGCCTACACCCATTTCCTGTACCCTTTCGATATATGCGGAATGTGTCTTAGAGGTCACTGAGACAACTCTTAATGGAGTCTGAAGATCATACTCACTTCTCAGAGGGTCTATAACTCCCATTGAGCCATAGATAGCTGAAGTGGTGACGTAAATCCTTGTTGTGGCAAAGTCTACCTCCACATACCAGTCGCTGGGTGTAGAACATTGGAAATTTTTATGTCCAGTAGGATTTGTCAGGACATACGACCCGTACAGTGTCGGCAGGTAAACAGAGAACATCTAAAAAAACTCAGTACATTGCTTGGAATTGATCAAGTGGGATAAAATAAGTGCTACCTGTGAGAAATCTGACGCGCTTGTAAAGAGCACATTACCACTTGACGAATAGGCAAGCCTGGTAGTTTGAGTTAAGAGAGTTGTCGCCGGGGATCGATCCACAATCAGACGCCGAGTTGTAAATGTAGGTGAACTGAAATGTTGTTTGCATTGAAGGACAGTCCACGGTGACAGTGTGGGCGGAGCCAGGCCTGCCATCATGCGCCCCTCTTCTTCATCGTCTCAAGAAGCTATGAGAAATGAGATAGGGCTGACTCCGCTCACAATGTCAGCGTGGACAGTCCCCCCCCCCCCCTGACAAGGAAAGGATGGTTGGTCGAAGTGCCATTCGAAATGAGACGTATACTGCCCGATGGGCCTTTGGACGCTGATTACAAATCTGCCCTCCATATCTGCTAAACGATTTCCTGGACAAAGTTATGCAGGATTTTTGACCAGGTCACACCCATTTCCAGCATGTATATGAGGTGCTCCAAATTGCCCAAATTGGCTGGAATCTGGAATTAGAGGTGCTTTGATGCCCTAGGAATCAATACTGCAGTTATATTTCGTGAAAACGTCTTGTACGCATTCTGGAGGGGCAGGGTGTGCAGGAACCTGCAACGTCCTTGGCAAAAGCGTTTTTACGCCGAATGAGTGTGATATTCGTGCTCTGGCGGCTCAAATTAGCCCTAGAGACAAGTTTTCAACCAAATTTGAGATTTCGACCTATTTTCGATACAGTGGGGTAACCATAGGCACCAATTCCTAAAGGTTGCTGGCACTATCGCCGATTCAAATCTCTGTGAGCAGTGGAGGTTCCTCGCTAAATCTTGGTCCTTGTAGGTTACTGACGTCCCTGATAACAACCCCGACATCCACTTTTGGCTTCCATGCCATCTGGAATCAGTTTGGCCTCACAACACGACGGAACGAATAATGCCGCCGAAACCAACAATCAGGAGTTCCCACTAGGAGTGTTCCAGAATGGCTCTATCACATCAGAAATAGAATTTTTGGTAGAATCAGGTCTCCTAGCCTCGCAGAAGTGCTTTCCGGATGTCCAGGAGGCATTTTTCGAGAAAATGCAAAATGACGCCCATGGAGGAATTCGAACCTCTCACCTCGCATACTTGAGCGCGGCATACTACCCACTAGGCCACCGAGGCACTCCGTGTGACGAGTCACGTTTCTTTTGTGTGCCAAGCTCAATTGTGCTCCGTACAACAACCTCCTGCATATCTCTGCTCAGAGAATCGTTTAGCAGATATGGAAAGCAGATTTGAAATCAGCGTCCGAAGACGCATCAGCGAGTAGCATCTTGTCTTAAATGGCCACTTCGACCAACCATCCTTTCCTCTGCGTCGTTCACCTTTTTCAGCAATTCGTTGTTCTTTTAAAGCAAAAACGGAGTAGGAACTAACGTGAGCTTGAACGTTAGAGATCAGCTCGATGTCTCCATCGCGCGCTTGTTGATCGCTGACACCTGCCGAGGTGACGGCAAAGACCTCACTGTTCGGCAATTGGACGTAATATGAAGAAAGAGCTGCCCGGAGAGCTCTGAAAACCAGAAATATTACATTGATAGCCTCGGAAAAGAGGGGATACTCACCCGTAGAGAGGCATACTACATGTGCCAGCGTCGGTCATCCTTCCTGCGGCCGAGCTCAGTCCCATCACCAATGACCCAATGTTCGAGTATTGGAAGTACTGGAACGTGACTCCGGTTGCTGAACGGGCCAAGCATTATTAGATGGTCTCATAAAATTATTTCTTGAATCAGAATAATGAAAAGGAGTCTGGGACTAACAGTCGTATGTGACGAGAGCGTAATTGCTGAACCATTGAGTGCCTTGAATTGCTCCATTGACAATGGTGGAGAGATTCGCAATCAGCTGAAATCCACAGCGTAGGTAAAATTCCGACTTTCGGTCAGATTCGTGGAGTTGCATTGATTTTTGAAGAATTTTGAGAACAATGTGACTCAAATTCTACAAATTCTGAAATTTAAAGTTGCCGTTAGGGCTCACCTCCCCCCCCCCTTCCAAAGCCGAAAGTCGCAGGTGAAGCGTCTTGGGATCGCTACTGCCCCGACTCCGCCTGTCCGGGTTCAAAGGGGACATCAGCTCACAATCCCCATGCAGAGGCTGCTAACAGCATATGCAAAGTTAAGAGTATGATCCGCGTTAATTAGATGGGCGGAGACTGGCAAACATTGTGCCGTTGTGGTGCTGAATACTCTGCTTCTACATTGGAAGGAAAGGTGTGGCAATTACAAAGAAAGGCGCAATGGCGATCAGTTCTCGCACATCAAATTATCGTGTAATGCGTCTTTCAAAGTTTGTTGTTCTCCCATTGTATGTGGCTCAATAGCCAATAGCGCCAGCGCTTCTCCCCTGCCCCCCCCCCTCCCTGAACGATAGCGTCTTGAAAACCCACGGATCATCGGATGATCGTGCGAAAACGGCAATGCCCTGATTTGGTCTATTCGAATCCCAATGGACCAATTACTTCTTGGTTGCCCGTTGTAACAGACACAATCCACGATAATCGGGTGGGCGGAGAACTCAACGATCCTGCCTCTCTCACTGACGCACCCCTCCACCGCATTGGAAGCAGGGACGCATTAGTGGAGAAAAGAGGTGCAGTGGCTGTAGGTCTCGGAGGTGGTTTCCACGACAAGGAATAGCCATCTATCGGCTATGAAGATTCAAAGGAAAGAAAGAAAAAGCGAAGAAACTGACCGTGTCAATCATCGGCTTATTTCGGAGGGTCGTTTCCACGATAAGGACGAAAGTTTTTGCGTCGGGCGAGAAGGAAATCGGCGTTTTGGTCGTGCATTGCTCTGTAATATTTGAGGTTGGAAAGAAAGCTTTCAGTAAGGCAAGGCTGCTTGGCTAGGCTAGCGAGGAGCAGCGCCTACTAGGGAGGTGTACTGTAGGGAGCAACAGAAGCCTCTACACCTCGCGCCTGCAGGTTAAATCACCGGCTCTTCTGTTTTGCTCGTGTTTCTCGCAAATACTTCATTAGGGGAACTCGTAAGTACGCTTAGCAGAGCAAACGGTCTCTGAGCATTTTGTTCCCACCTACCCCTCCCTCTGAAGCCCCTGAGCCCCTTACAAGGGGGGAGGTCTTTCAGGTCATGGCGCGCTTTTAGAAATGGTTTGTTGCATGTTGTAGGAGTCCATATAAAGACCA